CGGGAGGTAATTATAGTGGTAAACTGTAATGTGGATGTAAAATTTTACCAGCGTGCCACTAAAGTGACCTGGAGCTTTGTACCAGGCCTTGGAATTCCCATTTTCACATATACATATGTGGTCCATAAGTCCATTGCAGTAGACAAAGCATTTGCCTGAAAAATATTAACATTAACATTTAATACAGTGACATCAAACGCAGGCCAGCTGGATGTTCAGGTCAGCAAAATGCGAACATTTCGATGAAGTTGTTACTGGCTAAACCAATTATTGAGTAAAATTCACTGCTGTTTCTAGTGTGGTAATGTGAAGCTAGCAGTACAACAAGGGTATGAAAATGTATGGAAATATAAAAGCAGTTTTGGCGCTTTGGATGTTTCATTGCAGGTATTAAACTCATCCACCTTGACTGTTACACTGTCTCCCTTCCATTCACACACATGTATTCTGACTTTCATGCCTCCACTTCTCCAGGCTCTCTTCTAGCTGCTTCCTAATCCCACTCCTGATTCGTGTAGGTTATAAAGTTTATAAAGTGACAGTTTATACTGCCCCTTAACGAAAATTAGTTTGACTCCCCTGGTTTAGTATATAATGGACCCACAATAATGCTTGTTTTTGCATGCGCAGTATCACGGTCTGATATATGTAACAGAATTTAAAAAACAAAACAAAAATACAGTCAGTCAACACAGTGTAAATTCATTTCACCTTTGGGAAAGGGATTTTTCTGTGCTTGTAGCCTGATCTTCACAACATCCAGAGGTGTAACTGTAAAAAAAAAAAAAAAAAGCAACTCAACATGAGTGCCTGTGTTCAGGATGTTTGTCACAATTTTCATTTAATCAGAGAACAAACAAACAAAGCAGCAGTTCAGGAAACTTCTCCAAACCTCCGATTGATCAAAATAATTTTATGACACAATAACAAGTTGTACCTCATAAACCACCAGCTGAGTGTTAGTTATTAAACAAAGGCATGCTTATTGTAATGTAATGAGCTGAAGTGTAGGTGCCTCACCAAACAGCGACGTAAGGATGGCACCGGAGCAGGACGCCACCATCTGTTGGAGGGGAGTAATGGCGCCGGTGGCAGGAGGAGCAGGACTTTCATTATTCATCCTGTCTTCATAGAAAACAAACAAACAAACAGACAAACATTTGATTGCTTTTAATACGGCTCCTATTTAATATTCACACAATAAATCATGACAAGGCTACGATCCCTAAAAAAAATTACATGACAGGTCTCTGGCTAACTTTAGCAAGCTAACTAGCACAGCTAACTCCTTACCTACCTACTAAAGTCAGTCAGAATCAGCGACGTCTTTCGTGAACACGCACATTCCTCTCGGGGTTTAAACTATCCTCCTACTATGCCAGTTCCTGCTGTCCTAAAGTCTTTGGAAGCATAAACACGTGTGAAATTGCAGCAGGGTAGTTCCTGACGCAAACAGCGCGTGATGACATAATTTAATTTCCAGCTGAGCACATTCCTTGACTTTAATAATTGTATTTATTTTTTGTAACTTCAGATAAAATGACACTAAACATGCATGTATACTACATTAAAGTTATTGTAAATGATAAAATGTACTGATATAATTGTCTTCGTATAATTTACTTTAGTTTGATAATAGTGGGGAAACGCCACATCCAAGCATCAAGAATATGTTTACGTATTTTTTTGCGTTGCCAGGTTTGGATAGTATTCCGTTTCATATCAACACCTCTGTTTTTGAAGCTATCGATAATTGGACGGCTGTAACGTTCATAAAAGACAAAGCTTCAGATAAATAATATTACATTTGTTCAATTTAAAAACTAACTCAATAACATAGCGCCTTTAACGTGGAAACGGTTACGAAGTTGGAAAGCGTCAAACATGGCAACATACACCGTCTCCGACTCCGACACCGGATTTAAAGCGGGAAAGGGACGTTAAGCAAACGGCATTGTTAAAGTTTATTATTTCTGGATGAGGAGCTGTAAACCCGTATAACCGTGGATATTCTGTGAGAAACAAATCTGCCGACAGAAGTTTAGGGACGTTTTTCGACATTTACTTGCATAAAAATGTGAGCAAAGAGGCTAATCGGCGAAGCTGTGTGTCCGCTGTGGAGGGAGGCTGTCAACGTACGTTAAGTTTACACTTAAGACCATTAAAATTGATTAACATGGGGACAGCGAGCACTCTGCTTCAGCTAACGTTAATGTTACATTTTGTTTACGCATTACTGTGTAATAGATGATTGTTTCCTTGCATTTTACGTCCAATTTGTCAAATATGCGTTTTCTTTTGTTTACACACAGAGGACTGACGAGGCCTTTGTGGAGTATGTTAACTCAAGGCGAGGGGAGAAGAAAAGCAGCCTTTTCTCGATGAACGAGAATAAAATGAAGACAAAACGCAGTCAGAGGCTTCCAGGACCCAGTTGGCAAGGTACTTGTAGCGTTTATTTCCGTGTTACACCAGCCGCGACTTTTTCCGTGTTTTGCATTTAAAATTTAAAACGTAGATTTAACCAAACTAGCGAACAGCTAACACCGTAACGTACGAATGTAACGCTAATGGATCTTTTGTGAAGTTATTTGATTGTTACTTTTCTTAAAAATAAGCTGTTTTGATCCAGATTGACTTGAATGTTAAAACAGTTGATATAGGTTCGTTTATTTACTTAGCTGCTAATTTAAGTAAGGATAAACTTGATATAAAACGTGCTTTAAGCGTCAAGTTTGTCATTGGAGATCCTAATCCAATCTCTCTTTTTGTTTATGTTTAATCAGTGTCTGGGAAACTCGCTGTAAAACTCACTTGTCTGATAAAAATCACTTGTGAAATGGTTTAACATTTAAGTCTTTCTCTTGTGCTATAATGTTATTCAGGAAAAGGTGGACATACTAGTGACAAGGTGAAGCTGAGTCAGGCGAAACATACATCAGTTCCCACACAAGTCAAGCCTTTTGCTGGAAAAGTGTTTTACCTGGACCTGCCATCAAACAGAGTTGCAGAAACTTTGGAGAGTGACATCAAACAGCTTGGAGGGGTGAGACATTATTTGGTTACATTCACTGGCTGAAACTTGCATTTTCTCACACTGCTTTACATAGCTTAACATATGAACTATGAAGCTGCGTATACACACCAGCCACTCTGTTGGGTACACTTATTCGTTCATGCAAATATCTAATCAGACAGGCTGGTCTGAGTATTTCAGAAACTGCTGATCTAATGGGATTTTCCCACACAAGCAGAAAATATCCAGTGAGCAGCAGGTCTCTGGGCAAAAATGTTTTCTTCATGTCAGAGGAGAATGGCCAGACTGCTCCAAGCTGCTATCAGTAACAGTAACTCAAATAGCCACAAACAATGTACATCACATCAAACCTTGAAACGGATGGGCTATGGCAACAAAAGACCACATTGGGTGACGCTCTTGTCACAAAAAAGAGCATCACATGCCTACAATTAAAGCTACAATTCACACAGCATCACTTAAATTGGATGACAGTAGACTGGAAAAAGAAGCCTGGTCTGATGAGTCTTGATTTATGTTCTAACATTTGGATGGTAAGCTCATTTAGAAAAAAACAACAAGAAAGAATTGCTCCATCCTGCCTTGTGTCAGTGGTTAGGTTGTTGTTGTTGGTGTAAGGATAGGGGGTATTTTCTTGGCTCACGTTGGGACCAGAGTCTTCTTGCTGACCATGTCCATCTCTTTATGTCCACATTGTACCATCTTCTGCTTTCAGCAGGGTAACGTGCCTAGCCTACATTTGATTTCTTGAACATGACAGTGAGTTCACTGTACTCAAATGGGCTCCACAGTCACCAAAATCTCAATCCAATAAACCACCTTTTTGACATGGTGGAAAAGGTTTTTATTCACGGACATGAAGCTGATAAATCTGCAGCAACTGTGTGATGCCTTCATGTCATTATTGACCGAACTCTCTGAATGTTTGTTGAATTAACGTAATGAAAAATTAAAGCCTGAGGTCCAACCAAATACTCCAGTACTTACTGGAGAAATAAGCCAAAACTGAATACATTTCACTCAGAAGTAGTATGACTAGAACATTTTAGTAAGGTTACAAACATGACCAGACATTCAGTAATATTTTTCTTTTAAAGGCTCTGGGACATGTTTACTCTGTGAATCGAATAGACAAATAATAATTCTTGAGTTTTTCTTAAAAATTTTTATATTCTTTATCTTTTCGCTCAGACTGTGGAGAAGTTCTTCAGTAAGGACATCAAGTATCTGGTATCTAACAAGCGAGAGGCTAGATATGTGAACTGCCTCAGACAGGACTCTCCTGTTCCTAGCCCAGACTCTGGACCGAGTTCGCCGTATCTTTGCTCAAACCCACACCGGCCTGGCAGCCATGGCGACATCAAGAGCAGATCTCAAGGACAAACCGACACGGTGAGTTCACCATGATGTGTCTGTTTTACCGGGATTGATCTCACTTCTTCTGTGAACCTGTAGATCATTTTTCTAGTTATTGATATTCTTTTGCATTATCTGTTGTTGTTTTGCAGTTTGTTGCAAGCCGAGGGAAGTCTCTGGTGGAGAGAGTAGTGAAAGAGCAGGTTTGTTTTGTCAGCATGAATGATACTTACTGAGGGCTCTTAATTGCTCTGCTAATACACACTTGTTTGTTTTTAGGAAAGGATTCAAGTAAACAAGATCCTGTCAAATGCCCTGGAGTGGGGTGTGAAAATTCTATATGTAGATGGTATGTTGTGTGTGTGGCATCTGTTTTAGTTGAAGTAATTTTTCTTCTTTGTATGAAATTAAGTTCATTCTGCTTTGACATCTGTGACTTTTCTAAATGTATTTGTGCCAATTTCAGATTTAATAGCATATGTTCATAAGAAAAAAAAGATCATCAAAAGCTCAGTTCCTGCAGCCACTGCGGCCAAATTATGTGTAAGTTGAGAATTTCCAGTGTATACTAGGAAAAATAGTCCAACTTTATATTAAGTTATTTGTTTAACATTGGAAGTGTTCACTTTTTTCTGTCGTTTCTAACAGGACAAAGCTGATTCTGCAGCAAAGCAAGGCCTAGAGAAATGCAAAGGTAGACCCCACCCAGACAAATTACTGAGCTTTGCTGGTATATTTTAGTCGACCTTTTCAGGCTGGTATTCTTCTTCTTGCTTTGCTAATAAACGATCTATGTTTTGTATTCCAGGCGGGCGGATTGGTAAACCTTTCATCAAGGTTGAGGATTCAAGTAGGTAAGAAGTCAGTCAGATGAACCCAGCATCCACCTGCTGTCATGAAATTGTTCCTGTGATTTTTTTTTTTTTTTTTAAATGGTTTCCTTCTCTTTTGTCAGGCACTACCGTCCACTCTACCTCACAATGTCAAACATGCCTGAGTTCAACCTGAAAACCACTGCTCCCTGTAGTCCATTCTGTCCTGAGGAGAAGGATCCTCCTGCAAACAAACAGCGGGGACAAAGGTATTTCCCCTTCCTTTTTAAAAAATCTCTCGCCACTTTAACCCCACCAATTTTATACCGAGTGCTGCTTAAACATTTTAAATATGCTATGGAGTGCAGTCACAGTTTCTCCATGTGTCTTATGTAAATTGATCAAAAAGTAATATCAGGTCATCATGGGCACGAATGTCATGGCAAGTCTGGTATTTCAATCATTTGACCCTGAAAATGATCAAGGAAATCCTTAAAAGCCTGAAAATACCATGACAATTGTGCCCATGATAGGTGTAAGGCTATCTCTGATCATAGCTGTGGGTCTGAAAAGTTCTGAACCATGCAATTGTAAATGGTACTGCTGGAGCTGCTCAAAAGGTCTTAAATGAACTCATGAAGAGTTTATCAAAATACTAAACTTTTTTTTAATTTATTTGCTAATCCTCTGGGCTACTCTGGAAACAGATGTGTGAAAGCCTCAGTCAGTGAGGAGAGAGCTCATGGACGAAAGAAGAACAGAGAAAAGAAACGAGGCGGCTACTGCGAGTGCTGTATGATCAAATACAACCAGCTTACGATGGTAAGTTTGTAAAACTGTCACACAGCACAGTGCACACACTGTTTTTACAATCCTGCTATTTCTAAATGTGAGAACTTCCACACAAGCACTTATTTTGAAAGTCTTTGTGCAGATGCTAAGAGATAAATAATCCCTGGTGAATGATCTGGTATGAGGCGGTATGATTTTGGTTTGGTTAACATCCACGAATTTTCATTTAAACTTGTTTTTGGAAACAAAATGGAGAATCTTTGACTGAAAAACTCTAATGGCAAAATCCATTTTAAATGCTAAACAAGGTGGTTAGCACTGTTGCCTCACACCAAGACGGTCCTGATTCATTCCACCATCAGGCTGGGGTCTTTCTGTGTGGAGTTTGCATGTTCTCCCCGTGTTTGTGTGGGTTCTCTCCAGGTACTCCAGATTCCTGACTAAAATGTGTCATCGTTTTCGAAAAGGCTCTGGGTTCGCTGTCC